GAGAGAAACGAGGTGTCGACGAATTAATTTTTTAGATAGTCACAATGGAACGAAATATACGAGCCGTTTGGAAAAACAGCAATATAAGAGCCAATAAATATAAAACTTTGACGCATAAAAGCCTGAGATACAATTGAAAAGCAATAACAGCAAGGAATAATAAATTTCATCTTATCAGAAATCCTGCATATCAGAATACAGTTTCTTAGGTATAAATCTGTTGTATTCCTATTACTTGTGCTTTTCAATTGTGTCTCAGATTTTATAGTTTCCATGCATAATTATTTTAGCGACTCTATTACAAAGAGAGAAAGAGAGAGAGAGAGAGAGAGAGAGAGAGAGTGAGAATTCTCTAAAACTTTTTAGAATGAATGTCACTTTGCTCTATTTTATTCACGATTCCTTTTTAAAGATTGAAAATTGTGCCACTATTTTTCAAGACTAGCTCGATTTTCACTCTTTATAGTGAAATTCCACTTCAAAAGAATTTAGACAGAATCATTTTTACATTCCTATTCTTAAAAAATCACCGTAAAATATAAATGCGATAACAGAAATTTGTAATACAATATTTCAAGGAAGATATCAGAAATCGATAAATTTACCGATAAGCGATATCCTTCCAAATAGAGATTTGGGTGTTTCTGGGCGGAAGATTCGCCATGTCTCGATTCCAAAGTTGATTTGCATCCTCTTTCTGTTAATGCGACGCGTCACGAGGGCAACGATCTTCTTCCGAATCAGAAACACGAAGCAAAAGAAGACTTCTCACCTGTTGGGCCCATTGTTCGCGAGATAATTTGGTTAAAGTAACTAATCGCTCGCCCCTTTTCGGGGCCCCGCCGCTTATATGCTCGATGCCGAGCCGCGGTCCCTTTTGTCATAATTAATAGTTCCTTACCACTCTTCTTCCCTAAATGATTCTTCATCCATCATCGTGGGTCCGAGTCTTCGAGGAGCCTCTTTCTTCGCGCGGCGCGGCGCTCGATTTCCCAGAATTCACTTCCCATCGCCCAACGATACGTGGCCTCGTTGCGATCCCGCTCGGTCGAATCATCATCGTCCACCTGGATGTAGTAGCAATTGTTCCGGATGGAAGAAATAATTTTTCCCGTGTCAATTCTCCATCCGAGTTGAAATTTCAATTGTCCTTGCAGAGCTACTTTCGTTCCGATCTCTTCTCGCTTTTCATCGAACGTTCTTTTGAAACCTGATCGACGCCGCTGACGATTCGAAAGCTGTTTCGACGATTAATACACACCCGCGAGGCCCTCGGATTCGGATGCGCAGTCATCTCACGAAGTTGATGGTAATTGTTCGTTAATTCGATTGGTAGCAGCGGCATCTTTCTTTCTATCGCATACAAAAGTACGGAAATAGAATCACATGATCTCTCGTAGCAGGTTTCAAAGCGCTCACACCTGTTAAAAATTCAAGATTTCTTCCTTTTTTTTTTACGAGGAAAAGGAACTTTGTTTTCCGTGTCGTCTTCATAATGAATTCATTACATTGTTCTTAATATTTAATTTCTTATAATTAAAATATGTAGCTCGATCTCTTCTCTTCAGATAATGGCGTGATAAATCTTATTATAATTGAAAAAATGATCTCGATTACACACTCAAAGAACGCCACATACACAATGCATGATTCCTGACACTTTAAAAGCCCGTCACTGTCGTGAGATTCACGCGCCTAATTCGCGCAATCGTTTCCCCGGATCTTGCCGGAACTTCCGCTTCTTTTACGCGCACTGCTTACGTTCTGATGATCGAGATTGGGATCTGAATTCGTTGAGAACGTAGATGAATTCGTGATGAAAGAGAAAGTATAATACTGGTGTCAGAATTAGCGTAAGTTGTTGAACGTCGAGGAGGCTAGATTATGGTATAGACACTGTTTAGACTACCACGCCAATTGCGACGTTCGCACCAGGAAGGCCACTAAAGTAAAACAATCCCCGAGTTCTCAGTGGTTCTCACCCAATTTCGACCTGCATTCTCACAACGCCCAATTTCTGTTTTCATGGGAAACACGCGTGGCGTATCGCGAGTCTTGTAAATGTAAAATTTCATTCTTCCGCGCTTTTCCTTTTCCACGCCTTGAATGGAATCGGCGAGAACAGTCCGGAAAATGTGCCACGAAAATAAAATAATCCTATTCCCGTATAAAAAAGAAGCAATTTAACAAAAATTAACGAATTAAACCAATCGCATGACGTACTCATTCCGCGCCTCATTTCTGCGTAGGATAGAACAATGCATGTGGGTTTTAATTCATTTCTTCCTCATAATTTCATCCGACTAAATCGCGAATCATTACAATGATAGAATAAATAAACTTTTCCAAATAAATTAAGCACTAATTATTACTATACGAGAAACAGAGTAAGAATTAATTGCGATATGTTTAATGCTCTCCATTTCCGCATTTATCTTCCTGAACGGCTGATGAAAATCTGATGTTTTTATCTTTTCATTTTTACTCCCCTCACTTTCTCGATTACTTGCTTTCAGATTGTCGCGTACACAAGCGAAAGTGCCACTGCACATGCAATTGCATCTCGATGACCGTTCAGGTGATTTAACGACTTGTCACTCACTTTATCAATTTGCCGCCGCTGGAAATCACGGTTTCACGTGTAGGTGCCAATGAGCGATACCTACCACATAGCATATCGAATTAAATAATAAATCTGTTTTTGTATTCTGATGCATTCATCAAATGCATATGATTCTTTATCCGCTTTTAATACAAACATATTTTATATCTAAGATTTTTTTTGTCGCGTGTTTTATTTTACGTTGAAAGTGTTGGTGATAAATGCAGATAATATGCATGTCTAAAAGACATCATAAAGACAGTATAAAGATATTTTTTTTTTACATACACATCTAAAAGATATCTAAAAGACATCATAAATATATCGTCTGGATATTGCGTTTGTCTGGATATCTTGTCATAACTTAAATCGGATCATGAGACGAATTATAAGATTATCAATATATATATAAGACTTGGTGATAGTTGTGTGTACGTCTCAAAATTTATGTTGATCCGATTCCTCATGTGATTCACTTCCTTCTCTTGTGTCCTGAGAAAATATTATAAAGATTATTTTATAAAATTCCTACAAAAATATATTATTAGGCACCAAAACTCACCTTGATCGAATATGGCCTTCTCCACTCATTTGTGTTGAAAAAATACTATAGTATTAAAATTTGTATTAATTTCAGTTCTTGAAAAAGAGATAAAATTTATCTTCTATTATCACCTTAATAAATTGAGTTAGTAATTGTCAATCCGTAGTGAATATACAATTTATTGTCATCTTATTACGATTTTATTTTTTATAGTATACTTTTGCGCTCGTTCGTGATTACAAGATATAACATGCGCCATACATAATGCCGTGCAACATCGCGATTTAGGTTTCCGGGAGATACGTTACACGTAACAAAGAACAAATACGATGTGTCCTCAGCCTGACGACTTTTTCAACGGACGAGACCGAAAATGGCCGGGATCGTGAACGCAGATAAGAGTCGTGCTTGCCCATGTCCCCCGTGTTTTTCAGAGTTTTACGCCGGTAATTGTCCAGCCATATGCTCGCCTCGAGCTCGCCCACCGAAACACATCGGTAGTAACTCCTCGACTAACACTCGGGCCGTCTCATCCCGATCGCCCCGCGATTACGCGCTCTCGTTCTAATTACAATATTTAAATTCCACCCGACATGTGCTCAGCCAATTCGGCCGAACGCTGAATGGCCGCGTTATCGCCGTCGATACGCTCGCTTGCACGCGTGTGCGTGAACGTGACGTACGCGCGTGGTTTACACACGAAAGCTATATCGGAGCCTCGCGAAAGAGACTGTTGGCTAAACATTCGACGGCTATCGCGATCGACCACGCCAATAATTCATTACTCGACCGGATCAGACACGCGTCAGTTGCGCGAGTACAGGACTCCGGATCATTTCTGATCGCCAACGCGAGTTCAAGATCAGTTTTTAACGCTAACAAATTAAGGCTTAAGCGAGAAACAGTGTAAAGCAGTAAGTGAATTCGACGAAAGTCTTTTATATTTATGATCGCATTTTTAGTGAGCTCAAATCCGTCTTCAGATATGATACGAAGATTTAAATAGAGATCTTGTGATTTAATTCATTATTAGCTACGTTATTTTTACAATTTGATTGAAGAATTGAGATAAAGTTTGTCTTGAGACGTGGCCTGAATTTTGTTTCTGTAGCAGATCAATTATTCTCTCGATAATTAAGAGAAATTATATTTGTGAAGTTTTTATAAATTCTAAAAAACGGAAAAAAACGATATGCAAAATTTAGCACGTAACATCAATTTTTAACGTCAATTTTATAGTATATAAAAAATATGGAATTTTTTTTATTTTTATAAGGAACTGTAGAGTTATGAAAAGAGCTACGGGCTGTCGTTATTTTGTTTATATCAATAGAACGACGTGCTAATTTCACAATCCAATTTTATGTGGAGATCCATGAAATTAGCACAATATTTTATTAATATAAAAAATATTTTAAAAAATAATGATAATTTTTTAGTAGCACATTTCATAGTTCTACAATTCCTTATAAAAATCCTTGTAAAAATAAAGAAAAAGTTCCACAATTTTTATGCTAAAACACTAAAATTTAATTTTTACGTCTATCACTAATTTTTACGTCATATCTTTAAATTTAATTTTTACTATAAAACATACTTTTCGCGCCGAGATACTTTTCTTAATTAAATTAATTATTTCTCAAGAGAAGACAAATTACATAAAATAGATGGATAGTTTAAAATTTTTAGCGCGATGTAAATGTGAAATATATTCGGATCCAATTACCGAAAAAATTATTACTCCGCTTGTAAATATTACGAATATTGTATAATAATTACAATTCACATCATTTATTGCTTTGATTCAATTTCTTGTCTCTTTTCTAATAAACTTTTCTAATGTAGGTTGTTCAAATAAGACTTTTGGATCTCCCGCCCAATAGTCGCATATGGAATGTTGGCAAAACTGCACTATTCGTTGGTGTTTACTTCAGTACTTCAGTTGCTGTTCCAATGGTCAGTCTCGCAGTTACATGCAGCTTGTAAAACACGATTAATCAATGAATAATTAAAAGGTATTGTCGGTTATTATCACATATTATTACGCATTATTTAGTTATCATAAAATATTACAGTTTAAATACATATTTACTTCGACTAAGTAAATCGCATGAAATATCTAAAATATCATCTGCCTCGAATGATTAATCGCGAACTGAAAAGTTCTTATTTATTATCAAACACATATTTAAAGGACAATTCTGTGTTGTCTTCTAACACTTGTCACGAAGTTCGTGTTTCGATAATAATGTAATAATACGGAGCGACTCTCGCGTTGCTGTCCGACTCGAATCTCGTCATCAGTGACGTCAGATGCGCGAACGATAACATGGCAGTTTTTTTATGTGTACGCTGTAGTATATATACAATTCAAACAAATAAACTTGTAGTTGACAGTCTGTTGCTAGACAATTCACTACAAAAATAATTGTACCTTATCTATCGAATAAAGTAGTTTACAGATCGTGACGTCGGGATCGAACTTGATAAACCTTCCAGGTAGTCAACATATCAATCCGATTTTTAGATTTTATTAAAATCAAAAATTCTTATAAAATCAAAAATTTTTTGTATTAAAAAATATTAGGCAATTTTATTTCTTTCTTATTGTTAGAATTAAAGAAATCATTAAAAATCGGAAAATAATAAATTCATTTATATCAATAATTATTTGATCAAAACAGATACGTTGAAATAAAGCTGTTAATAATAGATTTAAATAAATAAATATAAATAGATTTAATAATTTTTTTTAAATATATAACTGCCAATGTAAATTATCATTGAACTAAAGAGAAGAAAAGGAAACCAAAGGAGAATGTGTAAAAAAATCGATTTTTACCTAAGGTGTAAGTAAAGGAGAGAATATTTTTTTATAGAACTTAATCTCTTGAATATGATAAAATTATTAAAAAGTTCGTGCCGCTTAGAGAACATCCCAAAATTGAGCATGAACGTGATGTAATTTATTCAAATGCCAATATCTTGCTTAATTTTCGACATGTTCCTCAACTACAAATTTTTAAATAACTTTATCATATCCAGGAAGATTTTCTTTATCATATCCATCAAAATTCACAAAAAAACATTATTTCTTTTATTTACGCTCAATTCTTTTTTTTTGAACATCCTCCTTTACATGTAACATTAAAAAATTTGCTATTAATGGTATACACGACACAGTTTAAAATGAATTTTCTCGTCGAATAACATTCAAGTAATATTTCCAATTCCGAAACGCTTTCTCAATCAAACGGAATTAATCATTATCTTAAGCACTAAAGCCTGTTCTATAAGCTTTGTTTCCAATTTCTTGCTTTTTTTACATCTTGTCTTTTTGCTGCTTATTCGGTTTTTTGTTTTATATCGCCTGAGATAAGAGTTAACGAATTTCGAAAGAAACAAGAAACACAAAGCAAGAAATACAATTGTTGATAAAACGATTGCAAAGAAATTAAAAGCAAAAGATAAAAAAAAACAAGAAAAATAAGAAACAAAGAGCATATTGTAGAATAGGCTTAATGAATTCACAAAATAAAGCACAAAATATATGAACAACCTACTTATCGAAATCAATTTAAAATACAAGAAACAGAAATATTCAGAATATGTTTACTTCGTAAAATATTAAAGTAACGAAATCGGTTGGCTTTGTTTTGGTACTTAAGGCGGTGACGCGACGCCCTATATTGTTATTTGCCCGGCGAATCTCGAGTCGGCACTCTTTGCGTGTCGTCGTGTATTATCCATTGAAACGCGACCACGTCGGGACGAGTACTAGAAAATATCAAGCTCTATCATACGATTAGCTCGCTCGATTAATTAACTATTGCGATTAACAACCGTATCGTACATACACATTGGCTGCTTATCAAAGCGAGTATCTCGCGCGATTCGTTCGTTCGCGTAGTAATGGAAAGGCGAATGGAAATTATAAATTGTTTCTTTATCGCAGTATTTACATCGAGAGATAATTCCTTCAACACTTAGATTCGAAAGTATCTCTTGAATCGCGCTTTGGATTTTTTGCTATGTTAAACGTAATATGCTCGTTACTTTCAGATTGAGAGCAGAGAATATACGAACGAATGGTTGGATCGGACGATTTAAAAAATAGAGATTCCATCGATCGTTTACGAATAATATATATTTCATTGGATTACGCGTTCGAAATATATTATGTACAATACTGAATTTTGATAGCATACTTTCGCATGACTCTTAATTAGTTTTAATTACTCATTGACTCGATCTTATCGTATCATGTCGTATGTATATACAATATACACTGGAATGTTAACTTTATTTTTGAATTCTTCGGTTATAAGCGGATGAATCGCGTGCATAAAACGGGTTTATTTCAAATCGATTAAAGCGATACATTTAATTAATATAAATACATCGTATAATTAAGTCTATAATTTTAATACTTATTAATTAATCATTTGTGTTGAAAGATCTTTGCCGTTCGAAATTTTGTTTTACTTATTAATTTGATTCGTCCAGTTGAGCGAATAATAGAATCTTACGCTACCCTTTCGTCACAATATATAATAGTAAAATTTGTGTCACGCGTGTGATTAATGTCGGGAATGCCATATGATTATTCTATTTTAATGATTAATATACGCAATCGTAATTATTCGTGTTTTAGTGAATGTTGTGTTGATGTCATGACAAGTGCAATGAAGGAGGCATCGAGCGGAGCAACCATAAGGTGAATAATATTTTGTATTATTTTTATTTCATTTTTTACTGAAGAATTAATCATGTGCAAGCAACAACTTTTTTTTATACAGGGTGTCTGGAAATAATCGCCAAATATTTCATAGGCAGGTAGAGAAGACTAAACTGAAAAGTCCTCTACCATTTTACAATTTTTGCAATAGTTAACAAGATATTAATTACTAAAAATTGCCAAATATTAATCTTGAATAATTTTTTACTCAAATACTATCAACTTTACAGAAAAACTGCAAAAGACAAAAATCATTTATATTCTTCTCATAAAGTTCTGAGAATTTTTTCAGAATTTTTTAATATTGTATTTTCTCATGTTGATAAAAAAAAGAAAATGCAGTACTAAAAAGTTGATAAAAATTCTGAAAAAATTCTTAGAACTTTATGAGAAGAAAATAAATGATTTTTGTCTCTTGCAGCTTTTCTATAAAATTGATAATATTTGAGTAAAAAATTATTCAAGATCAATATTTGGCAATTTTTAATAATTAATATCTTGTTAACTATTGTGAAAATTGCAAAATGGTAAAGGACTTTTCGATTCAGTTTAGTCCTCTCTACCCGCACATGAAATATTTGGCGATTATTTCCAGACACTCTGTATATTAATTATTTTTGGTACTGCTATAATTTATATATATTTCTGTTTTATAGTTCAACATAGTTTTTTCGGCGTAGTCACAACTCCGCTGCTGCGCATCGTATGGTGAGCGATGTACATATCATTTTCTACTTTAATAAGATAATTGATCTATATAAAAATTTTTTATAGGAAATGTACATGTAACAAATTTAAAAAGTACTAGTATAGATCATCATCAAAGATTATTATTATTTATTATTTCAAACATTTTTATCTCAAAGATAAATCATCAAAGATTGAACTCAAAGATCTATTATCTTAATTATAACAGGTGGGCAGATTAGTATAATCTGTCCACCTGTCCTAATTAAATATTTAATCTTGGAATTAGAATAACCGTTCAATTTATTTAACATTTTACACACGAATTGTGTCAAGTATAATTCAGATTTGTTGGAAAACCGAAAACGTCATAAGGACACAAGATAGCTATTAATAATTTTATATGGTCAATTTTTCATCAAGAATTTTATCAAATAAATTTTAATGAATTCAATTTTTGCGTATACACAAATAATTGCAAATAAAGAAAGAAATAAAATAATAAGTAAAGTATGATATAATAAGTATTGATATTTTCAGAAAATTTTTTAATAATTTTTTCATATTAATGTCTCATGAATAATGAAGATTAAAAAGAAGCGTTATATACTTTTTGTGAAATAAAAATTATTTACAGTATATAGCAGAGAAAAATTGTTTACCTTAATCTAACATATTAATTAATTTTCTTCTTTTCAAATATTTTTAAAATAAAATTTGAAATCTATATTTAGTCCCATTTATTTCCAAGATTAAATATTATATAAACTGATAAAAGAATTCCAACATTTCAACATTTTTTTCATGCATTTTACAAACACAACTCAAATATTTTATTTATATAATAACCTAAAGTCTAATAATATGTATAATACATAAGATTCAATAAAATTATTTTTTTGCTATATTGTGGAATATTTCACACAATCGTACAATACTTTAGTGACGTTAAATTACGCGAGAGTAGTTTCTGTTTTTACAATTAGCTAAATATATTGTCAGTTAATTTCTGATCAAGTGATCATTAATCTGGCAGCGTCTCGAGAAATAAAATTTCATTTTACGTTTCTCATTTGATACGCTTTTTTAAATATAAGAGTCATATATAATGACTGTAAATATGAATTTAAATGATTAATCGAATCGCTTACCGGCTATATTACTATTTAATTTTTTGCATGTCTTCGCGCGACTTTCGGTATTCAAACAAAATGAGAAACATCGTTCAAAAATTAACTAAATACGAAATCTTATTACTTTTTAAAAGTAAAAAAAAACACACAATTTTAAATCTTAATATGTTGTAGCAGAATGGACTTTTTCATTACATTTTGTTCTTTAGAAGTCAAATTCATTTTTATTAATTATTTCGTAGGTCAATGTATTGCGTCGATAATTTAAAACTTGATCCATAATTGGAACAAGTTGTTCTGAAAGTCGGTAATAAAGCAGTTTGTTAATTGAAAGAGCAAAATCGATTGCGTCGCAAGACGTAAAATCACTAGATAAATCAAAGATTGTTAAAATTATTAGCTACAAAGCGCTCACTTTATACGTAGATCCTATAAATTTCATTTAAAGACATCTTGCTGACGTGGAGAGCGGATTCATGTATCGAGTAATTGATCGATGTAAGTTTTACAGACCAGAAGCGCACCCGTTAAAATGATGCCATTAACGCGGTCATATTGAAACGGTCCAGCCACGTCGATGATGATTTGTCGCCGTGAGGGCAACCATGCGAGCGACAAATCTCGCTCGTGTGGCACATTGACGAGCATCGATAATATGATACTCGATAATGACGGAGTACCGCCGATTATATCGGCCTCGTTAACGCACCTGCGTAATGTAACGCATCCCTCCTCCCCCTTCCCCCCTCCCTACGGATGATGTCATTTTAATGCTTGTCTGCAAAACTCTTGGCCTGCGGCCAGTCAGCCTGTCACATACACACACGCGATACAACTGCATAACTTTTAACGAGACATGTTGCGTGAGAAACGGTATAAGGGAAGTTATCTCTGAAAGATGTCACGATAATTTTAAACAATTAATTGCAAAGAAGAAAATAATCACGTTAATTATTTACTATGTAAAATGCCAATCAAAGATTCCCGCGATAATAAAATAAATACAGAGATAAATACAGCGTAAAGGAATGCTGAAAACACTGAGAGGAAAATGTTTAGTATTTGTGTGTATATAATCACATGGTATGTATAAAATAATGATGGTTAACTTCATTTTTGTAATTATTATTGCTATAATATTAGTAATAACAATTATATTTATATTCTATCAAAACTATAAATTATAGTTAAATTATACTAATCGTAACCATCTTTTTCTCTCAGTGTAGAAGAGGAAAGTAACATTTGATACGACAAGAAATATAAAAAGGTGTGCGACACTATCCAATCTCTTCCACGAGAGAGTATCACTCGTGACAATCGTTTTATTATCTAAATAAAAAATAGCGAAGAAATTTTGTCGATCGAGGACTATCCACTCACTTGCGTGTTAGCATCGTGAGCGCGATTATGCTCGTGAAACCGAGCTACTCCTCGCCTCTCTTCTCTTTTTTTTCACGTTCACTTTCCTGCTCCACGAGTCGACGGACTGGTTTCGTCTTAATCTTCTTCGACAAATCTCTTTCTCGCTCTCGTTCTTTCTACCTACGGGTAAAAAAAAGGAACGCAGTACCTCGTAACAGTCGTAACTCGAGGAATGCCTCAAACACGCAATTTTAATGCACGACTTGCGTTTATGCATAGCGGAACACGTGCAGTCGTCATGTGTGCAATTACTGTAATACTCTGAAATGAAATATACTGTAATGCTTTCAATATGATGGAACATATGTGGAAAATATACCATTCTTTTACGTTCGATACTATTATGCGAGTAAATTCTTTAGACTTTAAATTAGAATTTTAGAAAGTATCTTAATATATGTTACGTTGCTTATAAATTGTTAGAACATGAGACTTAAGGAAACATAATTTAATTCTAAATTGATTTGAATAATAAAGATGTTATTTGTACGGATCAAAACGCTGTTGTAAACGTATTCGTTTATTTTCTCACATTTGATATGGACGTATAGGAAGCATAAAAAATTATTTAGAATAACTGCTGGATAAACAATAATTAGATTGGATTTTATTTCTTGTTCTAACGCCTAAGATTGCGTCAATAAAATTAGCGATTTCCTTGCCGCGTAACGCGACGTGCTATTATTTTATCCTATGATTTCGCGTGTCGTGTTGATTGGGTGAATAATAATTTAGCGTTTAAAAGAGTATACGCGTATAATTATGATGTATGATATGCATGTTATTGCCACTTGTCATTCATAAAATTCATTTTATATTCTGTCACATGTCATCTACAAAATTTATGTCAGCGGTACGATATTGTATAATTAGCCATAATTACGTTATTACGCGTAATCCGCTGCATAATGGTATTAATAATATAATACTGCAAGATTACATTGTTAATGTAAATAATATTTCAAACTGCCTAATTATCTATGCAACACATCAAGCTAAATTTTTATTCTTCGCGTCGCGTCGCGTCGACGTGGCAACCGCGGAGAGATATTTCAATGTAAAACCATAACCGCGAGAATTTGCACCCGCGAGACGCCATTAGTCAAGTTAGGAGGGAATTTTCACGCTTCCGTCTTGCCGCTTAAAAGTAAAAACATCACATTTCCCCCTAAATGAAATACAATGACTGACGTCGGCCGTTTAAACACTGATGTTTGCTCTTCCTGGGCGTCCACTTAAGCGAGAGATCGCTTAAAAGGGCATAAAACTACCGCGCGTTCGCGAAAGTCGCCCCGGAGCGTAATGCGTGCTCTTTACACGCACACGTTACTCACCGGATGGTTACGGAGAGGCGGAGAAGAGAGGTGAGGCGAGACGAGGCGAGGTGCGGTAGACCGGAAGTGGGAGCAATTAACGATATAAGTGGTTCGCTGGTCTCGGCGCGAGATAAGATCGGTTAACTCGAGTCTAGCTGCTTTTCTTGCGACCGCTCGATGGGAAGATAACAAGCTCGAAAGAGGCAGGTGCCTTTTCGACACATTATACGTTCTTGCTCATCCCCCGAGCCTCCTTTTTCATCCTCGTTGCCTTCACGTCGTTTCCTCGCTTCGCGCGTCCCGCTGAGCGCGTCCTTCCGCGGCCCGCTTTTCTGCGCTCGATCCCCGCGTATATCCTACAAAATAACTTTATTTGCCGGCTCGAACGCGAACGTCCTGGTCCTCGTTTGCATTTTATCAAACAGCGTGATAATCATGCCCGAGGACCCGCGGCCATTTTTCGAGCGAACAGCCGGCTTTTAATATTAAGCAGGCGTCCGCGTAATTGGGATCGCGTGTGGTCGTGCTGATGATCGATGCGCGCGAACACTCGATCCGATCGATCAATATTTATTCATGCACGAATTATTTAGCGCGTTACAATATTCGTCCGCCGGTGTAATTTATAGGCATGTGATACAATCGTTTATCGACGCTGTTAACATTGTTAATTTCTTCATTATGAAAGCGGATAATGGACATTTTCACGGAACTTTCTCTCGCGTTAAAATAAGATTCCATCCAGTTTTTGAAACACATTTCGTAAAATATGTAATGTGATTGCTCACTCTTGTGTATCAAAAACTTACGTTCGGAAACTTTGTTCAATTCTTTTGAACAACTCGTTCTTTCTCGTTTATTTTCTCGTTCGTTTTAAAAGAGGCGAAAATGAACAAACAGTTCTTCAATTAAAATTACATTTGCAAATGAATAAATTCTTTTCATTACGATTTCAAACCACATAAGAAATCTGAAAGAAAGTCAAGCTTAAAAGTTTTCCATCATCCCTTTTGTCAATTTCTCTTGCTTACACTTGTAATTTTAAACGACGCATCGAATGGTCGAAGAAACAAAATCATTTCTTTCTCGTTCTCGCGTTTTTATTTTCTCATTTATTTTAATTTTTAAAAGAAACAAATAAATAAACAGTTCTCCAATGTATTTAA